GAGGGTCGAGATATCTCCTCCTTAAAAGTTCTCCGTGTCTGTCTTTAATTATGCAAGTAGTTTGGCAAAATGTCTGTCTATAGATGAGGAACAACAAAGAAAACTGCTTAGAAGCAATTCTTGGTTTTGGGAGATTGGGAAATTGCAATTTACTCTCATGAGGGAGAGGATGGAGTGGATTCCATGAGGAACGAGATCAGTAAATGAACCCTTTTTCATAGACAAATCAAGGTAGAACAGGTCTCATTTGAAAATGGAGGAAATATGCGTAGGCTTAAACATAGCCATCTGACTGCATTCATAAGAATATTTTTGAAAGATTTCTCTCCGATATTTATGTGAGGTATAGGGAGCCTTGAACGTAGAGAAAGTAGATGGGACTTCAATAGCGCATTTGAGAGGTTAAAAATGTCCACAGAACTTTCATGCAGAGAAGGTGAAATTCTGTAATATCACTTCCCTCGGTATCAGTCAAAGCTTTCCATGTGATTAGAGCTCCATGTTTTCCATAAGGATTGTTGGTTGTCCACATTTTCTAAGACATAGATTACTATTCAGTATCAAAGCTGGGTGGAAAGTGATGGATTTTTCAGTGCAGCAGCATAAATTGCATGTGTGGTTTGGGGGTTTTTTTGTGAACAATGCCTTTTTGGTGTTCCTTGATGGCTTTAGGTATTATTTTTTCAAACGGTCACACCTGGAAACAACAAAGACGGTTTGGTGTTGTTACCATGAAGAAGTTGGGACTGGGGAAAAGTGGCATGGAATCCCAAATCCAAGAGGAAGCCCAACAGCTTGTGGAATTCTTTGCAGATAAAAAGGGTATGTGAGATGATGATGATGATGATGATGATGATGATGATGATGATGTTGGCTTGAGTATAACTGTACTGGAGCCATTAACACCAGACAGGTCACCAGAAGGCAAACATCACAAAATTGTGTCTCACTTATTTTAGCCACAGGGGAATTACTCTTCATATTGAGACAGAATTATTAAGGATTGGCTCTGACTATACAACCAGCAGGAAATCTGTCTGGTAACGGGAGCCTCTATCCCACACTGTTCTATTTTATCAAAAAGGAGACTTTAGACTTCAAACATCTTATTGAAGTCTAACTACAAAACATGTTCTTATGTCTAATAAGCCTAATAATGTGTCTAACAATCTACGTTCAGAGCATGATCTGGTAATCTGGGTCTCCACCTGGAGTCACAACTCCTGCTCAAGAACAGGTGGTGGTTGAGGCTAGGAGCTAAGCAACTAAGATGCTTAAAGGCCTGGAAACTAAAATATATGAAGAACGGTTGCAGAAATTGGGTACGGCCAGCCTAGAGAAAAGGACTAGGGGGGACATGATAGCAGTATTTCAGTATTTGAGGGGCTGCTACAAAGAAGAGGGGGTCAACTTATTTTTCAAAGCACTAGAAAGCAGGACAAGAAACAACGGATGGAAACTAATCAAGGAGAGAAGCAACCTGGAATTAAGGAGAAACTTCCTAAGAGTGAGAACAATTAACCAGTGGAACAGCTTGCCTCCAGAAGTTGTGGATGTTTCATCACTGGAGGTTTTTAAGAAGATACTGAACAGCCATTTGTCTGAAATGCTATAGGGTCTCCTGCTTTAGCAGGGGGTTGGACTAGAAGACCTTCAAGGTCCCTTCCAGCTTATTCTGATTGACTTTCCAGCGAGCAAGAAATCTGGGGTGGAGTCAAGAATATTGAAATTTTTTTGGCATAAGATATTGGTTATGCTATAGCCTGTGAATTTCACATTCTCAACAGAAAGTCAGTTTATCAAAAATAAATAAGGACTCCCAACCTTTCCTCTTCTAATAAGGTCTGCCGGACACCTCAATTTTGGTATAATCAGGAGAAGGAGAATTCATGTGACTATTAATTTTGTTTTCAGGGCAGCCGTTTGACCCCTCCCTTCCCATCATGAAATCGGTCTGCAATGTCATCTGTGCTCAAGCTTTTGGACATCGCTTTTCTGTTGAGGACAAAGACTTTGTGAAGCTAATGGAAGCCAGTTTTAATGTCTTGAAATTTGGAGCCAGCATCTATTATGTAGTAAGAAGCAGTATTCTTGTTTTACGATCTGTTTGTGTTGTTCCTCTCTGAGAGGAGGTTTCGAAGTATTTCTAGCAGGACTCCCCGATTCTCTAATAGCTTTGTTCCCTAGGCCATCTGTCTGGTAAATTCGTTTTTCTTGCACAGGTATACATAACCTGAATTAGAGTGTTGTTTCTCTGTGTCATATGATATATGTGAGTATAGGAATAATTCCATATTTATTTATTTATTTATTTATTTATTTATTTATTTTTGTCATATTTATGTGGTGACCCTTTGAGAGCTGTATGCCATGAAATTTCATTTTAATGTATACCGATTAGTGTACATTCAAAGTAACAATAAAGTTATTCTATTCTATTCTATTCTATTCTATTCTACTCTACTCTACCCTACCCTACCCTACGCCATGCCATGCCACGCCACGCCACGCCACTCCATTCTCTTCTCTTCTTTTTTCTTCTCTTCTCCTATACCCTACCCTATGCTATCCTATCCTATCCCATCCCATCCCATTCTACCCTACCCTACCCTACCCTACCCTACCCTACCCTACGCTATGCTACGCTACCATATCCTACCCTACCCTATCCCATCCCATCCCATCCCATTCCATTCTTTCTTCTCTTCTCTTCTCTTCTCCTATACCCTACCCTACCCTACACTACACTACCCTCTCCTCTCCTATTCCATTCCATTCTCTTCTCTTCTCTTCTCTTCTCTCTTCTCTTCTACCCTACCTACGCTATGCTACGCTACCCTCTCCTCTCCTATTCCATTCCATTCGCTCTTCTCTTCTCTTCTCTTCTCTCTTCTACCCTACGCTACCCTACGCTATGCTACCCTCTCCTCTCCTCTCCCATTCTCTCTTCTCTTCTCTTCTCTTCTCTTCTCTCTTCTCTCTTCTACCCTACGCTACGCTACCCTATTCTATCCCATCCCATTCCATTCCATTCCATTCTCTCTTCTCTTCTCTTCTTTCTCTTCTCTTCTCCTATACCCTACCCTACCCTATGCTATGCTACCCTCTCCTCTCCCATTCTCTCTTCTCTCATCTCTTCTATCCTACGCTACGCTACGCTTCGCTACCCTACCCTGCCCTACCCTACCCTACCCTATCCTATCCTATTCCCATTCTATTCTGTTCTATTCTATTCTATTCTCCTTCTCACCTGAGTTAATTTGGGATTTTACAGAACACTAGCTCTATGGTCATTAACATGAGTTCTTATTTAATCAGATAATGACCGTGTTACTAATTTAACAACTGCAGTGATTCATTTAGCAAATGTAGCAAGACAAGTCGTAAAATGGGACAAAACTCACTTAAGAAACTTCTCACTTAGCAACATAAATTCTGGGCTTAATTGGGGTCGTAAGTCAAGGACTACATGTAGATTACCTATCTAGATTATCTATCTCTGTCTACTTTATCTTGAATCTTAATTTTGCAATTTATAGTCCAAAATTTTAACTGCACTCATTCTCTCCCTCCTTTCCCTTTTGGTAGCTCTATGAAATTTTCCCACATATAATGAAACATCTGCCAGGCCCTCACCAGACTATCTCATCTTCTGTAGAGATGATTCTTTCATTTGCAAAAAAGGAGATCAAACAGCATAAGGAAAACCCGAGCCTGCATGAACCTCAAGATTTAATTGATTTCTATCTCTTTCAAATGGAGAAAGTAAGTATCCGATAATACCTGGGAATGTTGCTGGATGGAGAAACAATGCAGAACTCTCATGTATTCTGTGACTGGGCATGTAGAATCAATCAGAAGGTTCCTTGAGTGATTGGTAATATTTGATTGTTTTCTTTAAAAGAAATTGAGGCCAGCGAACTATTTTAAAAAGCATTTGACAATGTTGCTCATCAAACGTTCTAGAGTTACAAAGCCATCGGCCCTGTCCTTGTATGGATAGCTGATAGGTTTTAAAAATAGAAATACAAGAATTGGGTATGTTTAGCTTAATGAAAAGAAGGACGAGGGGTGACATGATAGCAATGTTACAGTAGTTAAGGGGCTGCCCCAAAGAAGAGGGAGTCAAGCTATTCTCCAAAGCACCTGAAGGCAGAACAAGAAGTAATGGATGGAAACTAATCAAGGAGAGAAGCAACCTAGAACTAAGGAGGAATTTCCTGACAGTGAGAACAATTAACCAGTGGAACTGTTTGCCTCCAGAAGTTGTGAATGCTCCAACAATGGAGGTTTTAAAGAAGAGAGTGGACAATAACTTGTCTGAAATGATCTAGGATCTCCTGTTCGAGCAAGGGGTCGGACTAGAAGACCTCCAAGATCCCATCCAACACTGTTATTCTGTTAATATGAACAAATGCTCCAATTGCCCAAGAATTCTGATTATATCTGAAGAAAAGTGCTTTGGGGGGTGTGGCTATTCTGGGGGAAGGCTTGAATGCTTTAAAGTGGGCACTCAAAATTCAAGATTGCACACAGTGATGTGCCTTTGGGAAACTGGATCTGTAGTTCTGCAGCACTCTAAAGGCTCAGCACTTTTCTCTGTGGAGGGAAGTAACAAGTAGAATGTGTTCATTATTTTCATTATGACTGGTTAAATTGAAATAAGTGTCAGATGACGCACAATGGGGAAAGTTCACATCTAATAATAATAATAATAATAATAATAATAATAATAATAATAATAATAATAATAATAATAATAATAATAATAATAATAATAATAGTAGTAGTAAAGTTGGAAGGGACCTTGAAGGTCATCTAGTCCAACCCCCTGCTCAGGCAGGAAACCCTATACCATTTCGGACAAATGGCTGTCCAGTCTCTTCTTTGCAATTGAGCAGCAAAAAGACTATTTTCCAATGCCAAATAATGGCAATTCAGTGGAAGGGGTAACTCAGTGTGCAGTTGGCATACAAAAAGGAAAATCCAACTGGAAAAGAGATGGAAACAAAAAATGCCAACATAACAATACTGTTCTTTAAATCGTGTGCAAGTTTGGAATAGTGGGTACAGCTCTGGTTGCCACATTTTGAAAAAAATACACTAGAGTTGGGGAAAGTGCCAAAGAGGACACTAAAATAGCAATTGATAATGATTATGTACTACCCAGTCAGTTTTCTACTCTTAACAATCACACAGATTTTTCTCTGGGATACTATTACTATGGTTGTGTCGGGAGTATAGAAGTGCTTCTGGGTTGAACGGTGACATCACCACTGCTCGGGGGATGCCCAGTTGGGGGTTCATTTCACATTCCCATTAAGTTGCCCACCAAAGTGGTACCTAGTTATCTACTAGGTCAGTGATGGTGAACCTTTTAGAGACTGAGTACCCAAACTACAACCCAAAACTCACTTATGTATCATTGGGTGCCGGGTGGGCATGGCCCATTGGATGGGTGTGGTACATTGGGTGGGTGTGGCACATTGGGTGGGCGTGGCTGCAGTGGTAATGGCAGACTGGGTGGGACCCAAAAGTTCAATCAATCAATTCCAACTTTGTGAGATCTTTTTGTTTCCCGTGAGAAGTTGAAATTGATTGATTGATTGAACCTTTTTTTTTTTTTGCACACGGTGGAGGCCTAAAGCGAAAAGGTTTTATAAACCCCGGCTGAAGGCCTAGGACTGGGGCAAGGGCGCGCGTGCCCACAGAGAGGGCTCTGCGTGCCATCTGTGGCATGTGTGCCATAGGTTCACCACCACGGTGCTAGAGAATAACAAATAGTAGTGGTGATAATGAATCTCCTTGAAATATTCCTCTCTTGACATTAACCTCTCCCAGTCTCTCACCATTGACCTGCAACTGTGTCTTCCATTGTGCCATCGATCTTTGTACAAATTTTCTGTTGTTTCTACTGACTCCTGTTATTTCTAGGCACTTGATTATCCAGTCATGTGGCAGAGTCAAATGCCTTTTTGTACTCAATCCATGCCACGTTCAGGTTGGTCTTCCTTCTCTTTCAGTCTTCCAAGATCATTTTGTCTATTAGGAGTTGATCTTTTGTTCCTCTGCTATTGGGGCGGTTTCCTTTCTGCTCAGGTGGAAAGAGATTGTTTTCAACTCGATGCTGTTGGACTGCATCAGCTACCACACCAGTTAGCAATTTGAAAGTTGTTGGTAAGCAGGTAATTGGCCTGTAGTTGCCTGGTGTTGCCCCTTTTGCTGGATTTTTCATTATTAGGTAGGTTTTTCCTATGGTTAGCCACTTTTCAATTTCTCCTCCTTGTAGTATATTGTTGAACTGCTTGGCAATGAGTGGGTATTATTATTATTATTGTTGTTGTTGTTGTTGTTATCCTAGAGCAAGGATGATCCCAATTCTACTTATAATGAAGACAACTTGACTCACTGCATTAATGACCTCTTTGTTGCTGGGACAGATACAACTTCAGCTTCTCTACTATGGGCGTTGCTTCTCATGGCAACTCATCTGGATATCCAAGGTGGGACAAAGTGATGTAGATCAGCGGCCCCCAACCTTTTGGGCACCAGGGACTGGTTCCGTGGACAAAGGTTTTTCCGTGGACCGGAGGGAGCGTGGTTTTGCATGCTGCCTGCATCCCAAAGATGAGGCTTTGCTTGTTTGTGTTGCCCGGTTTCTGGCATGCCGCGGCCCGGTGCTTGTCCACAGCCCAGAGATTTGGGACCCCTGATGTAGATAGGATAGTGAAAATAGAATATAATGTAGGCAACAAATATATTTAAATGATTATTTTTCTATTGTTGAATCATCAAAAACAAAAACTGGTAAGAGAAGCTTCTATAAATCCACCAGACATCTGACTAATAGTATTATTACCGCTTTATAAAACCCTAGTAAGACCACGCCTGGAATACTGCAGCCAATTTTGGTTACCATATCACAAAAAAGATGTTGAGAGTTTAGAAAAAAAATCAGAGAAGAGCAACTAGAGTCTCAGATCAATCCTAATCCTTCAGTCCTTGATATTAGGATGTTAATGGGAATTATATTAAATTTTTTCCTCTGTGGTATATAATCTCTTAATGTTCGCTTTATTTCTTTTCAGGGATAAACTACAGGATCTGAAATAAACCTTCCTTTTTCACTCTTTCTCAGATAAAGTACACAAAGAGCTGGAAGGCTTTTTCAGTTCATCTCACTCAATCTCTTACAAAGATCAGAAGGCACTACCTTACACCAATGCCGTGATTCATGAGATTATGCGAAATAAATATGCCTTATTTTATGGGCTGCCGAGACAATGTGTGAAGGACGTCTATCTGAGAGGTTTTCTCATCCCCAAGGTATAGAACATGGATCCTTTTGCAGTCCTGGGGTTGCAGTCGGTCTAGCTGTAGGAACACTTTGACTTGTAATCTCTTTGTGTTTTGTAAATGTATGGTTTTGTAAATTTACAATATTCTATGAATTCATCCAATCAGTCAAATCAGTTGAGTCAGTCAAACATGGCAAAGCAAAATATACTTAACGCCGTGTGTGAACTCGGAAAATGTGCAGTTGAAAAACTGTCCCAAAGGTGCTTTTCCAGAAGGCAACTGGACCTTCTTGGGGTTTTTTTCCTTGAAAACATTTCGCTTCTCATCAAAGAAGCTTCTTCAGTTCTGACTGAATGGCAGAGAATGGAAGGATTTATATTCCTTGCGGTCATCTGGCTGTTAGCACTCTCCCTGAGGGTCGTTGAGGCCACTCAGGTTTATCTGTGCCCTCAGGGTCACCTGAATCCTGTAGTCTGCAATTCCCCCCCCCCCGGAAATCCTTCCATACTCCTGCATCCTTCAGAGGGTGCTCATCCCAAAGTGCACAGCTAACTGTTTGTGGGGACTTTGGGATGAACACCCTTCAAATGGAGCAGGAGTATGAAAGGATTTCTGGAATCAAGCAATCAACCAAGCCTGTTGTTCATCCCAACCTTCATCTCAGCTTCTTTGTTAAATTTGCTAAACCTACTTCTTCTAAATTAAATGCATGCAATTGTAGTTTAAGTGCAATTAAAAGTATTTGGAGTTTAAAAAATGCATTTGAATCATTCGGGTGAGAGAAGTGGAATAGCCGAGAAATAAGAGGCGCGTCTGTCTCAATGCTTAAGTCAGCTTATTTTCTCCTTCCAGGGAGCTGTTATTGTTCCAGACATCCGTTCTGTTCTTTCGGATCGGGAACATTGGGAGACCCCTGAAGAGTTCAACCCAAATCATTTTTTGGACAAAGAAGGGAATTTTTTGTTAAAAGAAGCATTTCTTCCATTTGGAGCAGGTAATGTGCAGAAAAGCAGTTATGAGTAATGATGCTTATTTTAGAAAGGGGGTGAAAAAGGCAAACAAATTTTTTTTTGCTTGGTGACATCTGTGGATTTGAGCAATATAAAAATGTAAGGATTCTCTTTCCACAACATGTGGCCGGATCAATGGAGGGAAAGATTGGTGTTCGTTAGAGTTAACTGATACAGAAATCTCATGGAATTATATTTACCCTGTACTGATTGAGTAATGCAGTCAGTTAAATTAACTCCAGTCAATCTTACTCTTGTGGGAACTGCTGTTCATGAGGTTTCCGAAATCGTATTTCTCCTGACATCAAGATGGACTTTGTGGAGAGGCCCATAGAAATGGGTTCTTGGAGGCACTTCCTGTCTATGGCTTTTCTTGAAGTGGGCTTCAAGAATGAACAGAAATAGGTGGGAGGTGAATAGGAATCCCGTGAAGCTTTTCACAATGGCCCAGATATGGCTTCTTCCTCTGGGTATTCTTTAAAGATTAGTTTGCTCCAACTTGAGAAAAGGAGAGAAGGAAAAGAACGTTCGTCAGCAAGGGACAGCCTCCCAGGTACCTTCCCTGCAGTTGGAAGGAGTGTAAAAGTAACCACCACAACGTCTTTGGAGATTCTCCGTCATCCAGGTCATAGTTATCTCAAAGGTGCTTTTTCACAAGGCAGCTGGACTTTCTTGTTTTTCTTTGAAGATGTTTCGCTTCTCATCCAAGAAGCTTCTTCAGCTCTGACTGGGTAGTGGGGAATGGAAGGATTTATACTCCTTGCAGACAGCTGGTCATTTGCCTTCTTTTAGAGAGTCGTTGAGGCCACCTGGTTTACCTGTGTCCTCAGGTTCACCTGAGTAGTGCAAGTGCGTGTGGAGCCTTCTTGGAACTGTTGAAAGGATTGTGTTGTAGACTAGAGATAGATGGTGTCAACAGAGGGGGAGGGATATGACATCATCTATCTCCAGTCTACAATACACCCTTTTCATCAGCAGTTCCAAGAAGGCTCCACATTCTAAGAGAATGCAAATGACCAGCGGTCTGCAAGGAGTATAAATCCTTCCATCCTTCAACAAGGCTCCACATCCATTTGCATTACTCAGGTGACCCTGAAGACACAGATAAACCTCCAGGTGGCCTCAATGACTCTCTAAGAGAAGGCAAATGACCAGCTGTCTCCAAGAGTATGAATCCTTCCATCCTTCAACAAGGCTCCACATCCATTTGCATTACTCAGGTGACCCTGAGGACACAGATAAACCTCCAGGTGGCCTCAATGACTCTCTAAGAGAAGGCAAATGACCAGCTGTCTCCAAGAGTATGAATCCTTCCATCCTTCAACAAGGCTCCACATCCATTTGCATTACTCAGGTGACCCTGAGGACACAGGTAAACCAGGTGGCCTCAACGACTCTCTAAAAGGAGACAAATCACCATCTGTCTGCAAGGAGTATAAATCCTTCCATTCCTCACCATCCAGTCAGTGCTGAAGAAGCTTCTTGGGTGAGAAGCGAAATGTCTTCAAAGAAAAACAAGGAAGTCCAGTTGCGTCCTGAAAAAGCACCTTTGAGATAACAACAGCAATCAGTTGCATTATAGGAAAAGTGCCGAGAAGGAGCCAGTGGAGTCTCAAGTGAAATATGCAGTCCCTCAACAGGTCTACCCCTGAGTCTCTATCTTGAAGTGAAGGGCAGAATGGTAGCCCCTGAGGATGGCAAAGGTGTCTGCCGAAGAAACCCCTACGATCACATTTTAGGGAAATTCTTGTATCCCTCTGCTCTTTTTCTGGGCACTTTAGAATTTCCTGTCGAAATAACAGCTTCTTTTCATTGTTGTAGAAAGTTGGAATAATGCTACTGTGATGTGAGCTAGAAATATTTTGAACTCCAAGGAAAATATAAAATGATCAGCGGGAGGATCGTCTGCATGAAAGCTCACAACTCTTGGGGGTGTTCAGTGCCGTCAAAAGAGAAAGAGGGAAGAAACAGGGGAAGGAAGAGAGGAAAAAGGCAAAGGCTGATGGC